TGGATAGACCAAATCATTTCAGATGGGTGACTCTTGTGTTGAATGCTTGGGTTGTGTTTATTGGTAGCATGTGGGTTTGAACAAGGAACGCGTTCAGTTTGGGGGGAGAGAGGAGGCTGGGAGGGGGGGAGTTAATGGAAAAGTACAGTAAAGCACCTTCTGAGGTGAGAAGAAGTAGTGAAGGTCTATTAGCAGTTGATGACAATTTACATGTATTACTTATGTAAAGATCAGCTCGCAGCAGGTAGAGGAGCGTGCTCCCATGTGAGCTGTCAAAGGCTCCTGCCTCCTGAGTGGGAGGGAGCATGGGAGTCGCTGAGGCTGAGGGTTTTTTTTTCAATCTGCAAAGGATTGAATAGTCTGAAGAGTGATAAAGTGCTTCAGGTGGAGCAGAGGAGACTGACATGGCCTGAAAACACCCTCCCGGGTGTTAGACCTGGTAAAATGTTTGGGCAGCGTGCAGCTGCAGGGGCGTGCGGAGGGTGATGGGGTTTTGGGCTGGGTCTGGAGACTTGGAGGTGTGCAGAGCTGTGCTGGGAGTCTGCAGGGGATGTCCCTGGGTTAGGAGCCCAGCCGTGGCCTCACATCCTTCCCATCTGCGATGCCGGAAAGGAAGCTGTGGGCAAACATCAGCTTCTGCATCCTGGTCAGCAAAGCGTGTGCTGAACTCTGAAAAAACACCCTTCTCGGTTACGCTCTCGGTTTCCAAGTTGATACCAGAAAGCGAGAGTCACTCTGAGGGGTCTGGCATGCTGAAGGGGCTGGAAGGAGTGGGTGACTGGATCAGGCCTTGCGTCAGCTTCCTCCGTCCTGGGGGAGTCTGCTGTGGACTCCTCGGTGCAGTACGTGCCTGAGCTGGAGGTAGCTTGGGAGCTGGTGGAGGGAAGCTGCCTGGTGCGTAGGAATGTGTTTGCTGTTCTTGATGGAAAAATCCATCCTGAACTGACAGGAGATGCCGATGAATGCATTGCCCGAAGTTTGCAAATCCAGGAGTCAGGGTTGCTGAGGAGGAAGGCAGCTTCTCCTGAGCAGGACACAGTTTCTTGCAGCTCTGTCGGTGTCTGAGAAGCCGCCCGCTTGCCTGGCTCACGGCAGCGCTCAGCGGCTGCCGGCTGCCCGCTCGGGCTCCCTTTTGCCGTTTCAGCATCCCTTTGGGTAAGACCCTTCTCTCTTTGCTGTCAGAGATCAGAACATCCCTGGGCTGGCGTGAGCCTTGCAGACGGCCAAGAGCACGGCTTTACAGAGCGCTCGGAGAGGCTGAGGCCGATGCGGTGCTGTTGCCTGAGCCGACTCCATCCGTGCCTTGGACCCCATGGCGTGGTGGAACCCCACGTGCTGCATAGGTGGGTCCCCCCAGCATTGGCTGACCTACTAACTGGTGAATTCTGGTTCGTGTAATAGACCTGCTCTGCCACCCACTTGCCAGGAAGAAGCTACAGGACGAACGTGAGAAATGATTAACCTTGCCCCGTGCCCCGGCAGTGCAGCGAGCTTGCCAGCCAGTGCTCAAGGTGGAAGCAAACTTGTTTGACCATGTTTACCTGGAGGGAGTGGGAAGATGGAGAGTGGAAAATCCCGAAATACGAGGCCAGAGGGAGAGAGGTTAAGGAAGAGGAAGAAAAGCACAGGCTTTGGGGGCGAAAGGGACTTCCACTCCCTGCCCTGACTAAGCCAAGGTCAAAGGAGAGGATCCTGGGGAAGGGAGCAGGGTCTGTGTTGGTCAGTTTAAGGATACAGTTTCTCAAGAGGGTTTCAGGGAGAGGGAGCAATGACAAGCTGATAAAATAACTTCCCTTTTTTCCCCCCTGGATCTGTGCATCTCCTGCGTTGCTGAATTCCTTTGCAGAATCTGTCTTTAGTTTCAACTGTTGCATGTGTCTGGTAACGTGGAACTGCTGAAGCCTCTTGAAGCCTCACCTGGTGCCTTGGGAGAGTAGGTCTAGATGATTTGGTGGAGGGGTTTGAGAAGCAGGTGCTGCCGGAGGGGTGTGCCCTTCAAAGGTGCTCTAAAAGATGCTGGAGCTGAGTGGAGGGAGGGAGCCTGGCGTGGTGCGAGCCAGCAGCTCAGCTTGGGGAGTGTCCAGGAGAGGGAGCTGGATCCGGGATGGAGGAGCACGTCTAGGAAAGGCGGCACACGTGGGAGCAATAAACGGCGCTCGCCGGACGTGGGCCCCGATGGCTTGGGAGGGTGATGGGTCGAAGCGTAGGTGGAACGGTCAGGATTTGCTTTGGGTGAGGCGAGTTCTTCATCAGATTCAGGCTGTTGCTGGTGGGATGTAGTTGTGAAACCGTCACGTATGAAATACCAGCAGTGCGGCTTCCTGCGAGGAGTCAGTGCTCTGGGAGCAAACCACTGGAGCCCAAACTGGGCAAACGTAGATGTGCCGTTCATGCCAAGCTATAATGCAGTCTGTGCTGCTTTCAGACTTAAAAAGGCTGTACGGTATTTTGTACATACAATGTGTACTTTTCTGCAATTGCTATAGTTTGTTTTTCCTAATTTACCCTTTCCTTGTTTATCTTGCATACTGTGCAGGGGTCTAATTTAGATATTTTTTTTTTTTTAGAAAAAAACCTGCTTAGCAGTTATGGGTTGGGGCAGCAATTTCTGTAGCATTTAGAGGTGAATTTGATTAGCACGTTTGGAAAACTGTGCAGGAAATTGCAGTGCTAATCAAGGGAAATCAAACGATGGAGTTTTAAGGCAGAGCTGGTCTTTGTGGTTTTTTTTTTTTTAAAAAAAAGAAAACAAAAAGGAAGATATTAAGTTGTCTGAGGCTCAAAGCATTATATTTCTGCTGGTTTCGTGTGCCAGACTTTCTGATTACGCAGTTGTACCGAACCGAGCGTTGGTACAAAGATATGGATACTCTAAAATATAAAACACTTAATTCGTGGTCCACAACTGATTCGTTAGTGTTGCAGTAAGTTTTTCTCTTGTCCTTCCCTGTCCATAACAGAGTAAAATATTCTGTGCGTCTTAGTAGTTTTTAAAATCCTTCACTGTGTATAAAAGATGGATGAGAAGAGGCGCAACCAATTAAACCCCCAACTTTATTGTGTTAGTGCTGTGATTCAGGATCTGTTGAAATCAGTAGGAACCCTCCCAGTGACCTCAGATATGTGTTGGATGGTGAGTTTTAGTAGTTTTTCAAAAAAAAAAAATACACTGTGTGTGCAAAGAGATGGACTAAGTGTTAAGTGGATTAACTGCAATCCACTGGAGACCTTTGTGTGTGTCTGGGGGGAATGGGACATTTATTTTTGTTCCCCGGGGCTGCAGGCTTTGGGTTGCTAGTCAGACTTCAAAGAACTGGGAATCCAGGCCTGAACTCGGGGTATAGTTTCACATAGACTTCCCACCAGCGTTCCCAGTGAGAGACATCAACCAGATGAACACTAGAATTCTTGTTTGCAGAATGACGGTATTCAGATAAGCAAGGCAACAGATTTGATCATTAACTAAGGAGGATTGAGGGGGAAACAAATTGGCCTTTTGCAAGACCTCTGGTATTGCTGCGTGTGACGTGGCTGGTGTTTGGATAATTTTTGAAAGATGGGTAAGTTAGCTGCTGGGAGCACAATGTATGGAGCCTAATCAGGAAATGTTGGCCTTCATTTTTTTTTTTTTTTCCGAGAAATGGAGATTACTGCAGTTATGAACTGCAAATTGGTAACTGGAGGAGATTCCTAAAATATGAGATAATCCCTAGAAGCTGACCAACTTTCTCTGTAGAACATCAAATTCTAGGTCTATAATCTGTAATTAAATTGCTTATGTGCTGTTAAAAAAAGCAGCTGGCTGTTCTAAGATTGTCCAGTGCAAGAGCATAGACACTATAAATGAGAGAGCTGTAGTGACATGTAAAAAGTAGCAATTTAGAGGACAGGAACATATTAAGACTTTGTATTTCCAACCTACCAGGATGTGAGAAGATCCAGAAGGTCAACCCATCGCGTAACTACTGTATTCTGCAATTGTGATGGATAACTGTTAACCATTATGCTGCCAAAAGAAGTTAAGGTGTCCTTTGGATGCCTCTTGAATGGTCTGTGTGAGTTTAAGCTGTCTCATTAACAATATTTTGAAATATTAGGTGTTTTCAATATAAGGAAATAATCCCTACTTGATAGGTGGACAGACAGTGTTACGTAAAGATAGAGGTATGTTGTCCTCTAAAGTCAAAGCATAACCTTGCGGGTACAACCTGCCGTCGGTCTGTTGTGGGTTATTTGTCCTGGGAACAGCAGACAGTGTAAATCACCATCAACAACAAAACCCGTGCTGGAGCTGTTGTCGGTTTGCGCTGCAGAATGTTTTGTGGAAGTGGAATAGGAGGGGTCAGCAAGTACAGCTGCGTCCTCGCTGCCGCAGAGCTGAAGGGAGCTGTGTGGGCTCTGCCGGCCGCTTCAGCGGCGCTTCCCAGTGTCGGTGCGTGAACCGAGGGTTTCTTGGTGTCTCCTTTCCAAACGACTTTTTTTTGTAAAAAGGAAATTCCTTCTGAAAGTCTTGAAATTAATGCATTGCTTTCACTCGTTCTCTGCAGCGCAATTAAGCTGTTTTCCTCATCTGCATTAGGAGATGAATAGCGTGTGTGGCTAACCTCGGGTCACGCAGAGGCTGGCAGAGCTGGGCTGCGCCTCCTGCTTCTGCATTGGGTCAGGTCGCTCAGTTACAGGGAGCTTTTCCCAGAAGTGCATTGTTGAGTTTGCCTGAAGCAAGTGGCATGTCCCTTACAGCTGTTGAGGAGAAAATTATCTCAAAACAGACTCTGTGCCGTTTCCTGGTGTTGAAGGCAGGGACAGCATTTATAGAATTCCTCTGCCTTCTGCATCGTGGTTAATAGAAATCACTGTGTTGTGTTTTAATAGAGATGATGACATGTGAATACATTCCTTCCCGAGGCATGAATATACTTCTGTAACTCTGGACTCAAAATACTTCAGCCTGGATGATTTCTAATATTGTTTTTTTCCTCCCCGTCTTTGTTTTCCTCTAGTTGTGGCCTTCCTGGTGGCATATCATCAAAACAAGCAGCTAATAGGAGAGAAGGGGCTGCTCCCTTGTAAACTGTACCTGCAGGATGTCAAAAAGTATTTCAAAGGGAAGATAAACCTGGATGCGCTGAGCTATGCACCGACAATCATCTGGTTTCTGGACTGGTCAGACATGGACAGCGCCTTGGACTGCCTCTCTCTGTTGGGCCTGGCAACTTCAGCCTTCGTATTGGTAACTGGATGCGCAAACATGATCCTCATGGCTGTCCTGTGGGTTCTCTACCTCTCGTTTGTCAACGTTGGACAGATCTGGTAGGTTAACGATCTCTCTGCTTTGTTTTTCTCTGTAATCTTTTGCTGCTCATTGCACACATTGAGTTTCTGTTACCATTTGAGGTTGGCAATCTGGTAAGGAGCGATGTAGGAATGTGAGGTGAGGGAAGCATTTGGCAGAAATGAGTTATGGGCATGCCCCTGCTCTCTCTCTCTCTTACCCAGGATATCTGCCCCGATTTCTGTCCTCTGAGAGAGACAAATTGACTGCGTAATGTGCCACGCTGCACACTGTCCCTGCTGTGGACTGCTTTCCCTCATGGCTGTGGCAAGGAAGGTCCCCTAATAATTACCTTTGAGATGATGTCTCAGTTTTCAGGCCTGTCCAGAGGAGGGCTGGAACGCGCAAGGTAAGTACACAAAGCCTGTGGGGAAAGAAGTAATGGAGAAATAGTGACTGTCTGCATATCACCTTGCTGCAGGGAAAGGCTGTGGTGCGAAAGGAAAGGCTTCAGGTGGTCCTCACCCTTGTGAAGGCCCCAAATACATTGGTTGACAGAGGATTGGGGCCCTTAGAACCCCAAATTTCATTAGTTCACCTCTTCACTGCCTGTAGCAGAGGTGACGCGGTAACTTTGGGGAAGTAAAAGGCTGTGCTATGAAGAGGTGCCCAAGCTGTGGATGTGATACAGCTGTGTCACTGGGATGTTCTTCCCAAATCTTCTGGCTCTACAGCACATGACAGAACACCTTTCCTGTAGATGGGCTTAGTGAATTTAGTTTTAAGGATTTGCATGTGCTTGGGCAGCCCTGTGTCTTGTCCTGTCCCTTTCGTTCCTGTCCTACTCCAGATGGTATGTAAGTGGGTGAAGGAGAACACTTCGGTTTTCTGAAAAGCTCTATTCTCTGAGCTCTTAACTCAGCATGAACTTAGGACTGTGAAAGAAAGCCACAAAGTATGAAAAATAACTTGGTGGATAGTTTTCCGTTGCCCATTTTCAAGTTATTCCAAAAATCACTCGTCTATTTTTCTAGATGATTTGTGTTACAGGGCAAGAATTCAAGCATCGTCCTGCTCTCGTTTCCAGAGATGCAGGAGCCTGTGTCATTGTAGCAGCAAAATCTGAATGTGTTCCTTGACTTCTTTCTCTTTGTATTTCTGTTTGGGGGGGAGGGAAAAAACCCTTAACAACTTCCCCCTCAAGCTGCAAACGCTTTGTAGCTGAAAGCTGGACCAGCAGTGACTCCCGAGGCTGAAGGTTTGATCTGTCTTGCTCCTGAATTAGGGGGCTAACTAAGACGTTAGCATGACAGCTTGCTTCGTTAGTGCCCGCAAGGCACTCTGGAGTGCTCGCTGTACTGGTGCTGTGGCTGTGGTGGGGCTGTAATGTCGCTAAAAAAAAAAAAAAAAAAGCTGGCTGGAGCGTGTTCTTTGTGTCTCGTTGGGCTGTCGTGCTCTGTGCTGGTCCTCTGCTCCCAGTTGCTTTTCCTGGTACAGGCAGACTGAAGGCAGAGGTGTGATGTCTTCTCTGCCGGTGCTGGGGGGGTGACAGTCCTGCAGAACTCTTGAGTTTTTGCCAAAAGAAATCCTGTTGTGCCTGTCCGCTGCATGGCTTTTTTTGTCATCTTTCAGGTCTTTAAGGGAGAGGTGAAGGGTGGGGGATAGAGGAGGGAGCCTTTTGCTGCTGCTGTGCCAAACCACCACCAGTGTCCAGCAGACCATGTCCAAATGCCTCTTCCTGAGGGGGGTTAGAAGCTCGTGGCCAAGCATTCGGTCTCTGCAGCTCTGAAGAAAATGAGCTGGACCGCTTTTTTTAGCGGAGCCCAGAGTTTGCCTTTTGTGGATGCTGTGGTTGAAAGGAATTGACTCTTGATATTTGAGATAAGGCTGTATTTTCTTCCTCCTTTGCTACTTCAGATTTGGAATGTAAAAGTTGCCCTGGCAGAGGCAGGTGGCTCCTGGTGCACAGCAATAACACACCAAGGGAATGGGTCAGGTTCTTCTGGGGAAGGGGCGAGAGAAAAAAATAAGGGGGGGTGTGGGAGGCATTGCCTCAACTTCATCTCTTCTTAATTGTGGCATCGAATATATTAAACAGGAAATTGGGTTCTTCTTGTAAAGGGGTGGGGGAAAAGAATCAAAGCAACCCAGCAGTACAGCTCATTCAGCTGTGGTTACATTTTTCATTAGAATCTCCGAAATGGGTCACTGGGTAGTCAAAACCATATTATTATTGTGCATACAGTGTGACATTCAATTCCTGGAGAGAAGGGGATGCTGGGCGGCTGGGTACCTGCAGCACAAGTAAACATGGGGAAGAGAGCAAAGCGGGGATTAACGAATTTCTCTCTGTCCTTCAGGGAATTGTGGTGGCACGAGGGATGAGCTGAGAGTACCTGAAATCTCGTGAATTCTGGGTGGGTGGCAGCATTTGCCTTAAAACTCCCTTTTCACCCTGGTTCGTAGGTGGCGTTAGATGGTCTGTTAACTTTTTCTTGCTCTCAAATTTGGGTAGATTGAGAGGTTTTGGTTCATAGAATCATAGAATGCATTGGTCTGGAAGGGACCCCCAAAGGTCATCTAGTCCAACCCTCCCTGCAGTGAGCAGGGACATCTTTAGAAGTTTTGATAGCTATCTTTAGCTCGAGTTCTGATTGTTCTTTAAGGCATCTTTAGCTCGAGTTCTGATTGTTCTTTAAGGCATCTTTAGCTCGAGTTCTGATTGTTCTTTAAGGCATCTTTAGCTCGAGTTCTGATTGTTCTTTAAGGCATCTTTAGCTCGAGTTCTGATTGTTCTTTAAGGCATCTTTAGCTCGAGTTTCCTGATCAGAGTTACAAGAGAGCTCAGCAAAGAGGCATCTGAAATGAGGAAGAAATTCCTCCAGCGGCCACATTGTTTTGTAGTTATTGTGCCATCTTTCTTCATGTTCCTCTGCAGCTGGCAGGCAGGGACTCCTGCGAGCTGGTGCTGCCGGGCTGTGCCCGGACCCGTGGGCTGCCCCGATCCAGCAAAACCCTTTGCAGTAGTTGCCTGGGAAGCCAGTTCAAGGAAGATACGGGGTGATAAGGAGGAATAGAGTTCTCTTCTTTAGGTCAGTGAGGAACAATTTATTCCTTTTATCGCCTTTTCTTTTTTCTATTTTAATTTTAAATGTTTCTATTTGTTTTGGGCTGCGGTCTCCAGATACCGGGTGCTGCTGAAGGAGCGAGTCTTTCAACTGCTGTCCAGCTGGCTTGGGCTCAGAGTCAGAGGAAGCTTTAGAAGAGCAAACCATCTCCTTTGAAGGGCAGGACTTGTTGCCTGGCTGCCCCGGTAGTGCTGACCCCCACCTGTGAGCTGGGGGCTACACTGCGTGCCTGGGGACAGCTGAGCCTGCTGTGCCAGCGCGGCAAGGGACCAGCTAAAGGTCTTGGAGGGTGTTATAACCCTCAGGAAAGCTGCTCCTGGAACAGGCTGATGTGAGCTGTTTGTAATGGATTTTGCTGGATAAGGATTACTTTGGCAACCTAAAATCCTGAGAGCTGGGGACGGGGTGTTGTCTTGGCCCTGAATTCGTGACTTTGCCAGTTCAGTGTTGGCTCTGCCAAAGCGCAGGTGAACGGTCTGAAATGAGGTGCACTTCGGTGGTTCTCCAAGCTAGGCTGCCTTTCAGAGGACAGCATGTTAATGTTGGTACCTGTGAAATGCGGGGCCGAGAGTGCCTTTGCCAAATTCGAAAGTGGAACGCACAGGGAAGCTTTTGTAATTCTGGGCACTCTGTTCCCAAAACAGCGGTGGTATTTGGGGTCTGCTCAGACTAAACCTGGACGTGTTCTGTGGGTCATGGGGCGTGCGTTTGATGGTGCCACGCTTGCATCAGAAGCTCAGCGTGTCTGTCTTAAAATACTGGAATTGCACATTTCCTTCTGAAGTAGGAGGAGGCTGTCAAGAATCTAAAGATCTGCCAGTGCAAAAGAATATTTAATGTCTGACCCATAGGCTGGGTGAAGTGCTTAAATCATTATGTTAATTTTAGCCTTGAGTTTTCCTGTAATTTCTGCAGACTATGTCTAATTTCAGTAGAATAGAAATAGTAAAAAGAGGCCCGAGTTTGAGTATAATAGAAGCTATTTAACAAAGCTAAAGGCACTTAAAAAGACTTTGTGGGAATTCCCTATACATCAGTGTCCGTTTTGCAGGCTGCAAATCCTGCTTGCCTAGGTTCAGTCGTTGGAAGAACAGTGCGGCTCCGCAGGTCCGATACGAAGGGCTTTGCCTTTCTCCCTGCTTCCTCCCTCCTGAATATTAATATAATGGATTGTTTAAACAAGAATGGGAAAAGCTGCCCCTTTGTTTACAAGTAAAAATCCTTGTTGCAGGTGACCTCATGAAACCTCCATTTGTGGTTTTATTCCCTCTGGTTTCTGCTGGGGCATAGGTCTGCAGAGATGGACCACTGGCAGCAGAGGTCCTCTGTCAGGACAAGCTCTCCAGGAGAGGCGTTCCGGCAGAAGTTAAATCATTTTGGTACCAGAATAACTAATGCACTTCTAAAGTGAATTTGTAATTCTAGAATAAAATCACTTTTATCCCACAGTAAGGTGTCTCCAGAGAGCTATTACATTTTCTTATATAAACAAACTTTTAAGCTACTCTGCCACTGATCTCCTGTTTCTTCTTCTGTTGTTTCCTCACTGAACACCCCCCCCCCGCCCCCAGATTTTCAAATGTCATCTGAAAATCTTCCTTTCCCTTGGTTGTTGTATTGTTTCATTTTGTAAAGCATATTGCCCCCTGTTAGAGAGTACAGTTTGTAAGACACTTGATACAAATGCTAGAATTGTGGGTTTTTTAAATCCTATTGCCTTTTCTTCTTTCATGACTAAGATTCTGGTAGAGTTACAAGAGCTCCAGGGAATAGGTTAAACAAGCCAATAAATAAAGCGTTATAGCATGAGGTGGCTACAGCGTTCTTTTCAGTGTGTTCTTCCCTTGTGGAAAGTGTTGGTGGAGCTACTGCTCACAGGTGTTTAGGGTAAAATAAGGCTAAGCAGCACA